AATAGAAGCGAGCGCCCTTCAACCCTCTCTCGGTTTTCGAGGACACTGAGCCGCCTCTTTCGACTTAAGTCTTCAAGTGACCGGAGGATAAGCGAAACGCCGAGATCAAAGTCTGTTTATGCTTCGGATGTTCGGGAGAATAACCGTGTTCCTCAGGCGGCTTTGCCGGCAAAACCCAAGTCAAAGGTTCGTTTTTACTTACTACCATATTGTATGGATCCTCAACTACTCATAATTCCAATGAACCCTATATGTACGACCGTGTTTCGCTTATGCATTTAAACCCTTAAGAATTCGGAATGTAATTTTTATTAGGCATTACGATTCGTTCTCCTAAGAAATAGTACCTATTTTTAACGTACATTTGTTATATTGTGTTGAGAGGAATTTTCGAGTCCACACTAACATCAAGTTTTTGAGTACATGTTTGCGAGGTTCACGAGGTCAGGTTAGTATCAACATTTTAGCCGCTGTTTTCATCGACAGTGCTGTTGAAAGCTGCTTTCCACTTAAAATGTCTTCCATAGCGTTGGTTTATACAAATGCGGATTTCAAATGCTGGTGCGTGTTCCAGGTGTCGTGTTTTTGTTATACAGTGAAGTTTCTCAACGAAATCCTTCAAATGGTATCCAGGAAACTTCAGAAACCATACAAACGCGTTTTTTGTCGTCAAAAAGGCCTTTACATCGAAAGAAAGGCGTTGCAGCCGTATCGACTATCAAAACAGTTAAATCTTCGTATGAGCTGTCATTACATGTCTGATTTACCCGACCAACTCTACAGGTATAGGTGCTGTCCGGATCACATTAATAAGTAATATTGCCTTGGCTCATCAACTGTTGTTGGTATTTCAGTATCGTTTTTGAATAACTCTGTAAATTTCGGGGTTATACAACACCGTACCCTAGTTTTTGTTGGCACCCCTATTCGTCAGGGATTGATTGACATTGCCATTATCTAGGGGTCTTGATCGTAGTCTGAGTCCTTAGCATCATCAGAATTTTGTCTAGTTTTGATTCTCCGAAATTTTGTCCGAATACTGATGCCGCTCACTACCCTTTTTTGGGTGTTTACTTCGAGGAATTTGTGGGAGACTGTCGAACTACGCACACGTAGGGTGTTGTTATACATGGTCAGATGTCTTACATCGTAGGTAATGTCTAATTACTCAAAACAGTGGTTTGCTGTTGCAGGATTTTAAGTATTACCTAACGCGCCATTAAAAAGTTGATCGAACTACTTTTTTGACCATAAACTGAAATTGCAATCTTGTTTGCAAAACGAATAGTTTAAAAAGCTGCTGTGAGCTCAAATAAGAAACCCTCAGATTAAACACGCAAAAGAAGATATTACTATCTTTATACTAGTTTGGCTACAACCTAACGTCTGATGCTGTAAGTGAGATTGACAGTAGGCATTCGCAACACAACCCAGATATTTACTCTAAAGCTTACTGCTCTCCTGCAAATTTCGATTTAAAAGGTTTTCTTGGGCGGGCTACTAATATAATTCCGGACCGTTTGCAGTAAACCCTTTCCAACTCCACACCATCCTAAGTGATTGTGCCGTTAGTCGCATTGCCACACAAATAAAGTCCCACATTAGCTGTTGCACATGTGTTATTTGGATGCACGGGAGTCTAAGCTATCGTGGCGCAGATTGTTTTCATCTAAATCTCCATCTATCTTAAAGAGTAGACACGATGGCTTGCTTGAAGGTGGTATGGGCTCTACGTGAAATTAAGTCCATAAGTCTCAGTTTCCAACACCGTATTTAGGTAAAAGCAGTTCGGTATAGGCATAGACTCCTACAAAGCAATTTATCACACAAGACAGTATGACTTGTATAATTTTCCTCACGGCAAAGTTTTTGAACTTTTTTCGAACATCCCGGATATGCTTTCAAGGGTCTACTTTATTTTGCATTTTGATTCTGTTTCCGGTGTCGTCCAAAATCTGAGCCCGTGTTTTGTGGGACCCGAACTCTTTAAAATTGAAGTATCTATGAGTACTTTGTCGCGTGTGTCACCGAAATGCACTTCCCCCTTCGGTTGATTTTACCTCTTTGCGTTTCTTCATCCACACCATCTTCCCGCTACCTGACTTTATTTTTCATTGAGTGCGGAGGGGTCTTTATTGCTTTATGTCGTCTTTTTGGCAGACACTAAGATGTCTGCCAACTACTTCTGTTAACTTGATTTGCAGGTTTCTTTTCTGCAACAACAGCTACTCGTAGAATATTGTGTTCTTGAATTGGCATGATCATATGATCAATACCCCTGGACTTTTATTTCCCAGATTTAACCTCTAGCCCTTGATATTAGCATCGTATGTCCCAGCTCTCCGCAACTGACTTCCATTCCCGGCTTGAGCTGCCTGTTTTCTTGATTTACCCCTCCCTTAGTTATCTTCTATATTGTGCCTTTTACATCCAAAATGTTGCGTCCTTCTCTATCTTATTAATCGATAATGACCAACAAAATTGAAATCCCAGAAAACCCGGTTGAGTCACGTTTCAATTTGACTTCTGTTATCTTCATTGAGTAACGCTGTTAAATTTTGGACGCTATCACCACTTCAGTCTGATGGGTCACGACGAGCCTCCTGTGTCAATCTCAACCACTTCTTGAATCACTTGAGGAGCCCCCGCAGTGCTTTCGCATTCTAGTCTGCATCTTTCCACCTTACAGAATTATATTCAGGCAGTACTAACTGACAACCTGTTTTTGTCCGTCTTCTACACATCACCCAGCATATACCGCCGTCGAAAACGAACGAGTAGGATGCCTACTACACACTTGTTTTCACTTGAATATAATTATTTAAACGGCCCCCATAGGCCATCAAGGAACTGCGAAAATGGAATGACCGTTACCGTTACTTTGCTCTTGTAGTAACGGGCTGGCCCCTACATTGCCTTACGTACATTTGCAAGATAACAGGCACTAATCAGAAGCGGTACCTTTCCATCATCATCAGTCAGAACATTCTTTGACTTTAGCAGCCTTTATGCATAAACTAACTTATTTGATCACCTAGTCCACTTAAAAACGCATTTTGGAGAACCATAGGTTCATCGTAGTCAAACCCAGTCGGTCTCGACATCCTAGAACAACCTTGTCACCGTCGAAGCATTTATCAGAATCCAGTCGAGGATGTACTTCAGTGGATCGGGCGTAGAAGTACATCCTTGTCCAATGAACAACTCGGTCACTGGCTCATCTGCTTTGAGCCATAATCTAGAGAATTCTCCCAAAACCTGCCCTGTTCTGTTATGCTCCACAGAGACCCGTGATAAACGGAATTGAAGTATGCAGAGAGCTAACAGCCATCGGCTGCTGGCAACCACCGTGTGGTTAGAGGGTGTACCGCAGTGCGCACGTTCTGTTTCCGCCTTCCTTTGTTGACCATACTTACCTGGCTCTCATGTGAATATCAAACACCTTTCGAACTGCAATTTTTTAGGACCTCCACAGCAATACCGCTGTTTTTCTTGAATTTATTTCTTCCCCCTCTTAAAGGCGGACGCCAAAGTAGCTCAGTTTTAGTTCAT